ACTTCATCTGCTAACTGAGCAATGCCCAAACCTGAACCACCAGGTCCACAGTTCCCTACCTGAGGAACTGGCTGAAAGCTTTGTAATTCGTCAGAGTGTGATAATCCTCTTCTGAGAAAACGTAATCTACATCATCGAGACCCCATTCCTCCATGAGCTGGGCTGAGCTCTTGGGCTCCTGAAGATTTAGAGAGTCATCATTAACACAAACAGTCAAGGCTCTGCAGATGAGCAGCACAAGGCTGGGTCTGTCATGTGCTCCATATGTCCCTAGTCAGTGATACCCAGGGATTTGTTTCAGGGATTTATGACACAGCAAATGCAAGGGCTTAATAAATTAATGCTTCATGCAGTCCCAAGAAACAAATTAACATGGCACCATGCAAATGCTCCCCACCATGAAACACTACATAAGGCCTTGGCAGGTTTCACAGCTCCAAGAAACTCAACTTCTCCCTGCACTCAAGATAAATAAACACCAAGGAAATAGAACTTCTGTCCCAGTCATTCACCTGCAACCTCATCCTTGCCATACTCAAGGAAAGCTTCTCAGGAAACCCTTAATTCCACCTGTCCAACTTGGCTTCAGGCACTAGCATCAGCTCAGAGTAAAGAAGTCTTTTGTACCTTTAAACTTCCATCGTCATTGTCATCCTCTTCTTCATCCTTCTTCTTCCGTTTTGGCTTTTTCTCCTTCTTGTCTTTCAGTTTTTTCTTCTTCTTTTTGTTGGGAGAATAGTCACTCCCTTCACTTTCTGATTTCTCCTCGATCTCCTCTTCATTTTCTGACATTTCATCATTGCTCCCCTAAAACAGACAGGGACAGTGAAGAACACTGCCCCTACTTCACTCTGTTTCTACAAACCCTTCCTCTCACATGAAATCTCCCCTCTCCAGCGGATGGATGCACTCTGCTTCCTCCCAGTCAGAAAGCAGCAGGCTTCAATGGCTACAATGTGCTGGAAGAGTCACAGCAGGACTGCCCAGGGGATATTTTTGTATTTCTGGAGAGATCATGACCCACTGCACAACACTGATGGTAACAGAATTACCATCCCAAGGAGTGTGGCTGCCTGCTGGGCGGAGCCCAGAGAACTTCCTGGGCTGCCAACACACACGGCCAGGGCATTCCAGCCTCTCAACAACCAGCACACCCAAGTCTTTCTAGCAGGGCTGCTCTCAGTCTGCTCATCGCCCAGCCCGGATTGATACCGAGGGTTGCCGTGATCCAGGTGCAGCACCTACACCTCGTTGTGTTGAACGGCACCAGGTTCCCGCGGGGCCCCCTGTAGATGCCATCCCGACCCTCTGGATATCATCCCATCCCATCCCTCTAGATGCCATCCCGACCCTCGGGGACACCGAGCAGCACCAGGGCTCGGCTCCTGCCAGCACAGCGGACAGCGCCCAGCCTCGCCAGCCCTTCCCGGGCTCGATCCCGGTTCCCTCTCCCCTCCTGCCCGGAGCCACCGCCCGGCCCCGGGCGCTGATCCCCAGGGCTGCCGGGGCTCGGTGTCCACCGCGCCCGGCCGGTCCCTCCCGGCTCGGAGCAGCCCGCGCCTCTCCTTCAGCGGGGTTAGGAACAGCTGGAATTGGGCAAGGATAATTGGTTTCCATGGGAACTGCTGCAGTACAGGTTGAATCTCCCTCTCCGCTGCCTTCCCTGCCAAGGACCTTCATCTGCCTGCGCTGAGGTTCCAAGCACAGCCTGGCTGTTCCGCGCGGATTTTTTTCCGGGGGTTTGCAGCACCGGTTCCTGCATCGCCTGGAGCTCCATTGCGGCTGGTGCCGGCGAATTCCCGCGGCAGTGCGGCGTGGCAGCCCCGATACAGCCCGGGGACTGCAGCGGGCACAGGCACTGGCCTCACACCTCACTCCCACTGCCTCTAGCAGGGGTAAGGCTCATTTGCCCCCAAAACTCTTAAGAAGTTCAGGAAAAGGAAGCCCCATTCTCTGTTACCCCCTGACCCCGAGGGCAGCCTGGGTGCTGCTTCATGCCAACCGACAGCTCCAGGTTCTCCCTCGATTTGACAGATGACCAGGCAGAACCTGGTTAGAGCTGCCCACATAAGGCATTAATTAAAAAACAGGAGGGCTCTCAGCCTGTTATTTCCTCCCCACACCCAGCTCAGCAGCAGCCAAGCTCAGCACAAGCTGCACACACAGCTGCAGGGCTCAGGCAGGTCAGCAGCCACAGCAAAGGGGCAGAGGTAAAAATACTTTGGAGCTGTGTTTTATTTTCCTCCTCAGAAAAACAGCATAGGGAAAAAGCTATGCCTAACGATGGGAGAGGGTAGAGGGGGCAGAGGGCCCGAGCCTGCTTTGTGTGGTATTTGCAGAAAGAGAACATCACCATGGCCACGATGGAAACAAGCTTCCTTGGGGTCATGATGGCAAGAGGAAACACAGGATGGACTCACCTGTCTTTAAACCAGAAGCTCATCACACTCCTACCCGTACCACAAGCACTTCAACGTGGTACCTCATCCAGCCAATCTGTTTACAGCTGCCTTGGGGAGATCAGCAACACCCAGCCCTGCCTTGGCAAAGGGAGACGTGCCCAGTTGTGCTGGGTGAGCAACTTCGCCATAGCAGGGGTAGTAGGGGGCTGAGGAACTGTCATTGCTTGCCTTTTGTTCCCAGCAGCTTGTCTATGTTTAGTCAGGAAAAGGGCCAGCACACAAGATGTCTGCTCCTGTCCTCATGTCCAGCACTGTCTGGGGACAGGACAGTGAGAGGCAGAGCCCATGTGGCACAGCATCCATGAGCCAGGCTCTGTGAGCAGTGCCAGCCAGCCTTATCAACCCAGCAGCACACCTCCAGTGCAGCCTCAGGGCCTGACCCTCGAGAACACAAATCTTCACCTTTGTTTTCCTACAGAAGGCCTGAGTCCTTCCATGTGCCAAGTCCTAGAGATCCCTGGATCATCCCACTTGCAAACAGCTGGAATGAATGTAGCCAACACCAGCATCCACAAAAACCTCCCAGCCCTGCCCTGATCATGTCCCAAAATGGTGGTTTGCATGTCCCTCCTTGGGAACATGAGCCCCACATGCTGCGTTGGTGCAGCACATGTCAGCAAGATTTACTGCTGCCCCCGGGTCCTGCACTGTGGTATGGGCAGGAGACCTCAACACATAGGGTCAGACAGTACCACTGCACACACCACAAGAGCTGAGCTGCTCCTGTGAGGCAGGTGCCTGCATCACTGCTAGGAGGCCCCTTCTCCCCCAGCGGCTCCCCAGAGACCACTTGCAGGGGACATTGCCACTCCTGAGTAACCAAGCTGGGGAAGAGGCAAGAGAGGAGCAAGACAGTCACCTCCCAGGGCTGGGAGAGCACCTGCTCAGTGAGGGAAAACCCCAATAACAACCCTTCTTTCCGTCCACAGGGACCCAAGAGGTGCTTGCCAGCAGCATTCTGAGCTGCTGGCTCTGCACCACAGCTGAGGAGCCCCAGTCCAGTGTGAGAAAATGCAGTGTTACCTCCTTCTTCCTCCTCTTGATTTTGGCGGTCTTGCCATCTTTCAGCTTCTTGGATTTCTTCTTTTTCTGTACCACAACTTGGTCTTCTGCAAAAAACTCATCCAATCCTTCCAGCACCCCATCATCTTCTTCTGGAGACAAAAAGGACAGCTCACGTGGACAGACTGCACAGGCACAGGACACCGTGTTCACCATGACAGAGGAGCACACCTGAGCAGCAGCCTCAGGCCACAAGACACAGAGCTCTGTGGCCTCTCCTGCAGACCCTCACACCAGCAGCATCCCCACTAGTGCCCCTCAAAGTCTTGCCCAGCAGCACCAGCCTCAGCTCTTCCCATGCCCAGATCCTCCTGCCACTCACACCCAGCATGGAAGTGTGGGCAACCCATGCTGTGCTCTCAGAGCTGGGCATGGGGACACCCTGTGCACTGCTGCTCCTGCTGACCTGGGCCTGCAGACACTGGAGGAGCACTTGGCTTTTACCTTTCCAATCCCCAGAGCTCACAAAAACACACTGAGTGGAGGTGAGGATGGGTTCATGTGGAAAATGGGTGCCACAGCTGCCAGGTTGTTCTGGGCTGCTCACACCAGCTCAGGAACCTGGCTGTGGGCAGAGGCACTGATGCTAGTGCACACCTCCTCTCCCCATCATTATCTCCCCAAACCCAGAGCATCTCAGCATCCCAGCCAGTCTCCATATGGCTTTAGGCCCGTCTTTATTTTTGATTTCTGAGCTCATACAGCAACACCACTTCGGAGTGGTCAGGCTGTATTGCTCACTCGACTTCTGAGGCCCTGGTACAGCTGCCCAGAGAAGCTGTGGATGCTCCATCCCTGGAAGTGTTCAAGACCAGGTTGGACGCAGCTTGGAGCAACCTGCTCTAGTGGAAGGTGTCCCTGCTCATGGTAGGAGTTGGAACTCGATGGTCTTTAAGGTCCCCCCAAATCCAAACCATCCTGTGATTCCATGATTCAGTGATTCACGCTGTACTGGTTTAGGTTTGACAGGGTGGGCATCGCTGCACCAAGCCCAGCCCGGGAGACCAGCCGGCCCGCAGGCACCGCCCGGGGATAACCGGCTGCTGAGGATGACCTGGCACAGACCCCTCCGGTCCGGGGCGCGCGGATAGCGGGGATCGCCCACGGCACGGCCGGACCGACCCGGGGAGCGGTGCCACTGCCCCGCCCGTGCCCCCCGCCCGCCGGCGCCACCGCCACCGCCTACCAGACACATCCTCCTCGTTGTCCGCGTCGTCCAGCAGCTCCCGGGCGGCCGCCGGGCCCCGCATGCCGGGCGGGGCAGCGCCCGCCCCGGGCCGAGCGCCGGGGCCGAGCCGGGCGCGGCCGCTCCGCGCCAAGATGGCGAGAGCCGGCCCCGCCCCCTGCGGGGGACACGCCCCTGGCCACACCTCCCGCAGCCCAGGCCACGCCTCCGGCCACGCCCGCCGCCTGCCGCTCCCCCAAAACCCCCAAATCCCCCCAAACCGCCCCCCGCAGCCGCCACCAAGCCCAGGCTATGAACAACTCTGCTGCTGTTTATTCCAGAAAAGTGAAACTGTACAAAATAGCCGTCAGCAGCGGCGGTGGGGCTCAATCTTCTTCTTCCTCCTCCTCCTCATCCTGGTTGATCTGGAAGTAGCGCAGCTCGTAGCTCTCCTTGCTGTTGGCCACCACGCGCAGCCAGTCCCGCAGGTTGTTCTTTTTCAGGTACTTCTTGGTCAGGTACTTGAGGTACCTGTGGGAGAGGCATGGCTGACAGTGGTGCCCCACTGCCCCCTGCCAGCCCCGCAAGGGGCATTTTGGCTAATACATCCTTATTCCCATAGGATCACCCCTCCAACAGGACCAACACATCCCACTGGCCACCTCCTAGCAAAGCTCCTGCAGGGAAATACTGCAACCAGGGGAATCACACAATGCCATGACAGGGATCCTAGCAGATCATTCTTGCCTCAACAAGGCTGCGACCCTTGTGCCTTCTACCCACCTCAGAGGGAATCTCCACCACGATGGTGAATATCCACTGCTGGGATGTGCAAGGTATGGAACTGACGTGGAGCAACAGCGATGGGAGAAAGGCAGGTGCTCACAGGGCAGGGCACGCCCACCACCCACACAGCTCTGCTTTTCCTACCACTCATGCCCAGCCAGCTCCTTAGCCACCTCTGCCGTGGCACAACCCCGGTTTGCTGATGCCAGTCCAAGGACAGGCAGCCAGAAGCGGGCAGAGGGCCAGAGCACCATGGGACCAGGGGAACAATCTGGGACACCGTGGCACAACCACATTTTGTTGATGTCGGCCCAAGGAGGACCAAAGGCCCACAAGATGAGGAGAACAACCAGAGAGAACTTTTCTGCAGATACCTGTAAATTCTCTACTCATCACCTATTGGCTGCAGGTCCCCTCAGTACCCAGTGCAGCAGCCTTCCCAGCTGGAATATCAAACGCATTCCTATCTCATATATCATCTGGGAAGAGCAGCCATTCAGCGAGTGCCAGGCAGCACAAACTGAAGAACAACTCCTGCACTGAGACACCTCTTCCCTGCCAGCCCCACCTGCCCACAGACTCTCAGAGTACACCAGTCATTCCCTGCCAAGGGCCATCTGTGGCTGCACTGACCAATGGGCCCCAGGGGTCTCGGGCCTGCCCCACCTCACCTCTTGGAGAAAGGCACCTCTGACGTGACAGTGATCTTGCTCTTGCTCCTCTCGATGGTCACCACGCCCCCGCCCAGGTTTCCCGCTTTGCCGTTCACCTTGATCCGTTCCTGCAGGAACTGCTCCTGCAGAAGGAACACAGCCATGAGCGGGGGCCACAACTCCCACGAGACACAGCCCCCACAGGCTAGCTTGTGCCTAGTGCTCTGGAGCTGGGGAACAGACACCAGTGTCCCCATAGCCCGGGAGAGTCCCTTCCTCAAGCCAAGCTAATCCATCCCATCGAAGCCACACACAGATGAGGTGCTCAAGCCTGAACATATCGGACTGGCATGGTAGGGATGTTCCCTGCCCTCCGAAGGGACAACCAGGACAATGGGATCAGACTCCTCTGAGCTCCCCTCAGCCCCAGTTTCACCCAAGCCTCTGATGGAGTGCGGTTTGGACGGGCATAGGTTCATGACCCTAAAGTGCAGCATCCTTGGCCCCGCTACATGCCTGCCATGACACAAACTCACCCAGCAGAGCTGGGCAGAAAAACTGTCCATGAACAGGAACAACTCTTGTGCTTTAACGACTAAGTGTCCCAAACCCAGCCTCATCTCCAGCCCCAGCGCTCCGTGCTCCTCTGCCCATGGGACGGCCTCAAGGGAGCAGGGCAGAGCCGCGGGATAGCTGGGGATGTTCGTGGCCGCTGGGAGCGGAGCATCACCCTGGGAAGGCCCCCGAGGGCGACGCCGAGGAGCCATCACGGCTACCGCGGAGGCACCGAACTCACGAAGTTGGCGGCGTCCATGATGCCATCCTCGACGGGGTGCGTGCAATCCAGCGTGAACTTCAGAACCTGCTTCTTTTTCTTGCCACCTTTCGCCGCAGGCTTCTTCTGCTGTAGGGGAAAGAGAGTGAGGGAGAGTGAGAGAGAGAGGGAGCGCCGTGAGGGACCGACCCCGGGGAGCGGGGAGGGGCCGGGCCGAGCTCCGGGCTGGCGGAGAGGGGAAAGGCCCAGGCATGGATCGAGATCGGGAAAAACTCGGTGGGAACTGGGTTCGCCCGCCGCCCGCCTCCACGATCCGGATGGGCGGCGGGCGTCGCGTGGGGCCCCAGGAAGGCGCGGGCCAGGCCCGGCCCCACGCGGAGAACAGCGGGCGGGGGCAGGCCGCGTGGCTGAGACACGCGACGCGGCTGCGAGGGGTGCCGGGGGCTCGGGGTGCGGCGGGGAGCGTCCCGGTGGCGGCGGGGGGAGGTTAGGGGAGGCGGAGGCCGGTGCCGGTCCCGCGCTCACTCACCGCGGGCGCCATGGCGGCTCCGCGCGAGGCAGAAAGGGAGCGCGTCCCGCGCGCCTGCGCAAAACCACGCTCGGGCCGTCCCAGCCGAGCGCCGACGGCGTCGATCGCTTCCGGTCCCACCCGCGCGGGGCGCCTGCGAGCGGACAGTGATGCCTGGCGGGGCGGAGCGAGCGCGGGGGCCGGGCTGTGGGCGGGGCTGTGCGGGGGGCGGGACCTCCAGAGCGTGGGGAGCGGCACGTGGGGTGCCCGTGCCCTGCACCCCGCACCGCCCGCGGCGGGACCCGCACCCCGGGAGCCTCACCGGGAACGGAGTGACCCCTCCGGGAGCCTCACCGGGCACGGAGTGACCACCCCACACCTCGGGAGCCTCACTGGGCACGGAGTGATCCCTCCGGGAGCCTCACCGGGCACGGAGTGATCCCTCCGGGAGCCTCACCGGGCACGGAGTGATCCCCCCGGGAGCCTCACCGGGCACGGAGTGACCCCCGCACTCTGTGGCTCCTCACCTGGCACGGAGTTACACTGCACTGTGGGAGCCTCACTGCACTCACGTACCCAGTACCGTAGGGAGCCTCGATGCGTACTGGGTGACTCGGCACCCCAGGGCTCTCACCGTGCACAGGGTGACTCTCGCACCTCCTGCCGGCTATCACCAGCCCATGCAGATGCCCATGTCCCCGCAGCCTGGGGGGCTACGCAGTCCCGTGTCCCCACACGCCGAGGGCCGTCCCCGCCGCAGGGCCCCGAGGAGCGCACGGGGCTATTTTTGGGCCGTGGCGTGGCAGCCGATCGGCAGTGCCAGGGGGCCCCACGTCACCGGATCGGCCGGGCCCTGCCGCCTCGGCATCGCTCTCATTCCTGCCGGCACACGGTGAGTGAGCAGCAGCACAGCTCGGCTCGGATACCCCGACTTACAGAAAGGGAGAGGTAAAACCTTCACCTGGCCAGGACACACCTGTGCCCAGAACGGGGACTCCCGGCATGTGGGGCACCTGGCTGCCTTCACGGCCAGGCTGCCATCGTAGGGCACGTCTCTGGGCAGGGGACACCCTATTCTAGGGAATGCTTCCTCCGGGGGTACACTCTGCCTGAAGGAACCCCCACCCCTATCCTGGGGGATGCCCTGCTGCAGGGGATGCTCCTTTGCAGGGGACAGCCCAGCTCAGGGGATGCTCCTGCTTTGGGGGACACACACCAGGGGGGACACTTAGCTGTGGGGACCATCCAACCCAGCGCTGCAGCCCCCAGGTTGTAATACCAGGGGAAGGGGTGCACTGGGGGCAGCCTCGTGCCACGCAGCTCATAACCTAAAAATAGTCAGCAGCTCGCGGGCCCTGGAGCAGGATTTGTCCTTTCTGTGGCAGCCACAGTGTTCTCACAAACTGGTGCCACACAGGGTCCCTGGGCACAGGGCTTAGCTCTCAACCCCACAGATGGCGGGTGGCATTTTCTCCCCACTGGAGAGCTGCTCAGAACTGGAGAAGGCCAACTGCCACCCGTTGGTGTGCCTGCTCTGCCACGAGCCCTACCAGCACCCCTGCCTGCTTGACTGCTACCACAACTTCTGCGCCAGCTGCCTGCGAGGCCGCGCCAGCGATGGCCGCCTGCGCTGCCCACTCTGCGGGTAAGGGACAGCCCTGCCCGGGGCACACCAGGATTGGGGCACAGCACAGGGCTGGCAGCCCAGCACAGCACTGCTCCCTGCATCCCCAAAGCTGCCCCTCTAGCCCGGGTGGGTGTCCCTATGTTTTTGTCCCCATCTCATCCCCGCAGGCACCCCTCAGTGGTGAGGGGTGGCACGGGGCTGCCCCCCGTGGACCGGCTCCTGCAGTTCCTGGTGGACAGCTCAGCCGACAGCGAGGAGGACGTGCAGTGTGCCAACTGTGACCGGTGTTGCACTAAGGCGGTGAGGGCAGCGGGGTGGACAGGCAGGGTGGGGACCCCTGCCAGGGCCATGCCTGTCATCAGCTTTGTCCCCCCACACAGGAGCTGGACACCATGTACTTCTGCAACACCTGTGGGCAGCCCCTCTGTGCCCCATGCCGCGAGGAGACTCACCGTGCCAGGATGTTCACCCGCCACGAGATCGTCTCCCTCTCCAAGCGCACCAAAGACATCCACAAGAAGTGCCGTGAGTGCCATGCCAGGCTGCTCCGTGCCATGCTATGCTGCACTGCGCCATGCCAGGCTATGCCATGTTCCTGTCCCCTGCAGCACTGCACGAGGAGCCCTACATCATGTTCTCCACCGAGAAGAAGTCCATGCTGTGCATCAACTGCTTCAGGGACATGCAGGGGTGAGTAGTCCCAGCCCCACGCTTGCCACATGCCCCATCCTGTGTTTTCCCCTGATGTCTGTGCCTGCAGGGAGAGCCGGGCTCACTGCATCGACATTGAGACAGCGTACATGCAGGGCTGCCAGCGGCTGGACCAGGCAGTGATGGTGGGCAGGGCTGGGGGGTGTGGGGGTGGTGTGGGGGTGCAGTGCTGTCCCCTGCACTGCAACCACCCTTGCACCCCGGGCAGGCCGTGAAGGAACTGCAGACCTCCACGCGCGAGGCCATTGTCCTGCTCAAGGCCATGATCGAGGAGGTTCGCAACAGTGCCAGTGAGGAGGAGGCGGCCATCAACTCCCTCTTCAGCCGCATGCAGGTGCGAGGCAGTCACCTGCACATGGAGCCCTGTGCCCGTGGGACAGAGCTAGAGCAGTGGGAAGGGACTGGGGTGGACGCAGGACACAGGGTGGCTGTGCCATTTGCAGGAGCAGCTCTCGGAGAGGAAAAAGACGCTCCTGAAAGCTGTACAGAGGTGAGGGACTATTGGCTGAGCCCCGTCCGAGGGCTGTCCCCCTTTCCTAAAGTGTTTTGGGATGCCTGGGGCTGGATGGCTCCCTGGGGTCTTGCAAAGGCTGTGCCATGCCCTGCTCTGCTGCAGCCAGCACGAGGAAAAGGAGAAGGCATTCAAGGAGCAGCTGGCCCACCTCGCCTCCCTGCTGCCCACTCTACAGGTAGGGCCTCATACCAGGCAGGGACATCTTGACACCAAAGCCAGGCAGTGACAGACCCCCTCCACATACACAGGTCCACCTGGTGACCTGCTCGGCCTTCCTGAGTTCTGCCAACAAAGCTGAGTTCCTGGACCTGGGCTATGTGAGTGTTGCCAACACTGCATGGTGGTCAGAGCATCCTGCAGTAGTGCTGAGCTGCGGGACAAGGTGCTGGACACCCCTCACCATGCTTCATCGCTGCCTTTCAGCAACTGATGGAGAGGCTGCAGAGGATCGTCAAGCTGCCACACCGCCTGCGGCCAGCCCAGACCAGCAAGGTAGAGAGAGCCCACCCTGCAGAGCCTGTGGGCAGTGCCAGCTGCCAGCTCTGCCCCAGCCTCAGCTGCACTCTCCTCTCTTGTCCCCCAGATCAACAGCGAGTACCGGGCAGAGTTTGCCCGCTGCCTGGAGCCCCTCCTGATGCTCAGCCCCCGCCGCTCTGTGGTGGGCAGCGCTGGTGGCATCGGTCCTGGCATCACTGGCACAAACATGTGAGGTGCTAGGATTGCACCCAAGGCATATGTGCTACTGTGTCCCCTGCCACGTGCCACACTGCACAGTCCCCTCAGCATCTCACCATGCCAAGCTTGCCCCTGCTGCTGCCCTTGAGCCTGTCACCTCATCAGTGGTACCAGGACAGCACAGGCACAGCTGCACTGATGAACAACAGGCTTCAAGTGACACTTCTGGGAAGTGGGGCGGGTGGCAGAGGGGCGGGCAGCAGCAGGGCTGGCAGCTGGGGGCTTGGTTAAGCCTCACTCTGTTCCCTAGCCCAGCCCTGCCACGCTCCCTGGTGGGCTCTGCCCCCTTCTCCATGGATGCTCCACCTGGGCCAGCTCCTGCTCACCCACATGCCCGTGGTGCTGCAGCGTCTTTGCCCGCCACTATTTTTATCAGAATTTCAGAGAAGTGCTCAGCCATTCTTCACCAGGGATATATTTAGGCTTGTTGATGTCACGGCAGCATCGGCCCTGCCAGGCCCTCCCGGCCAGAGAGGACAGACGGGCACTGCAGCCCCATGGGGACTGCTCCTCGCCCCCAGCCAGGCTTGGCACTGCAGGGTGGCTGAGCTCCTGGGGGCTTCTGACCTCAGCACGGGCGGGGGGAGCACGGCACTGCACGGTAGGACCAATGGTGGTGGTGGTTAGCAGGGGGAGACCACGGGATGGTGGGAAACACAGGGGCAGTAGTACCTGCCAAGGGGCCAGGGGATACCAGCAGTGAGGGAGAGAGCTCTATCCCGCCCTTTAGAAACTGGAGGGTGCCGAGCTCAGCTCCTAGCTTCTCACTGCCACAGCTGGTTCTAAAACTGCAAGAATCCGGAGGGAAGCCCACAGAAATCTGTTTTTTGGGGCAACATAAAACACTTCTGACTGAACCCCTGTGCTCGGGTGAGGGAAGGGACATGTGGGATTGGTGCATCCCCAGGTTTACCGGAGCCAAGGAGCGGTGGGGCTGAGCTGGCAACATGGTCCCTGGCACCTCACCCCCACTGCTGCTCACCTGCAGCACGTCACTGTCACCTCTCCATGCAGGCTCCCCGGTGGCCAATGCTCCAAGACCCTGATGGTGCCCAGCTGCCCCCCAACCAGTGACAAAATGTCCACCGGCCCCATGGTGAAGAAGCCAACAATGCACCGGTACATCAGCACCAAGGTGCTGCTGGCCGAGGGGCGCGAGACCCCCTTCGCTGAGCACTGCCGCAACTACGAGAACACCTACCGGGTAGGGAGCACGGTTGAAGAAGGATGGGACGGGACAGGACAGGACAGGTTGGTGCTGCTCATGTGGCTTTGCCCCCCGGTTCCCACAGATGCTGCAGACGGAGATCCAGGGCCTGAAGGACCAGGTGCAGGAGCTGCACCGTGACCTCACCAAGCACCACTCACTCATCAAGTCAGAGATCATGAGCGAGATCCTGCAGAAGTCGCTGCAGATGGATGTGCAGATTGCAGCTCACTACTCCGCCGTGGAGATGATGCGCAGTGTCTTTGAGGAGGTACAGCTGGCACATCCTGGCAGAGCAGTGCCCCTCTGTGCTGTACCGCCACAGACTGCCCAGCTCCCTCTCTTCCTACCAGGTTTGGGAAGAGACCTACCAGCGGGTAGCAAATGAGCAGGAGATCTACGAAGGTACTGGTGACCCCGTGCTCCTCCATGTGCCCCCTGTGCCCGCACTGTGGGGGTGGCCGTGTCCCAGCCCACTCCTCTCACCCCCAGCCCAGCTCCATGACTTGCTGCAGCTGCGGCAGGAGAACAGCTGCCTGAGCACCATCACCAAGCAGATCGCGCCCTACGTTCGCTCCATCGCCAAAGTGAAGGAGCGGCTGGAGCCCAGGTGAGGAGTGCAGGGGCTTTCAGGGCCAGGGGGGACATAGCTCATGGTTTACACCCATTCCGCCACAGGCTGCAGGAGCCTCAGGAGCCCAAAGAAGAACAGGCACAGATGCTGCTCAAGATCTGTGACGACAGTGAAGTGGTGCCAAGGTAGGTGACAGCAAGCACCTGAGTGCCAAGTTCCTCCCATGCCCTTTCCTAGACAATGACCCTGTCTCAAGGTGCCTTCCCTTCCTTCCCTTCCCCAGGGATGCCTCACCTGGCAGCAACAAGGGGGATTCATCCAGCCCTGGGGAGGGCTTCATGCTCAGGGACACCCCTGAAGATCCCTCCCCAAAAAACAAAGACTGCTGCAGAGGCCAGCAGAAGAGCGGAGCAGAGAGTGCTACCCTGAAAGAGCTGGCACCGTAGGGCCCAGTGCTGGGCATGCAGCAGAGCTGCTGGGCAGAACCATGCCCTGGTCACTGGCCAGCCCCTCTTGTCCAGTGCCACAAGCCAGGGCAGGAAACAGCCCGGGCAGCCATGTCTGCAGCAAAAACCTCAGGTAGACTTGCTTCTGAAAAACTCTTTGTGCTCTCCCTTGCGTGTGTCAGACTGAAATAAAAGGGTGCAGTTGTCCATGTCTGACTGGTTCTGCAGTACTGACAAAAGGGATCTGCTGGCTCAGGGTATCCAGCTGCTCCTAAAAACACAACAGCAGCAAATTATGGGGAAAAATAACTCCCGGCGCAGGGCAGGGCCAGAGGTACACAGCTGAGCATCCTGTGAAGTGCTGGGTAGCTCTGCACCAACACCGGGCCGGGTGCCAGGAACAGCTGTCTAGAGGTTCTCTGCACATGTGGAAACTAAGAACTCACTGATCACTGTGGCACAGAGGGCAGGGCTTCACAGATTACTCCAGCTTTTCCCTAAAATTTCATATGCCTTCCCCACACCTGGTAAGCTGCTGTCTCCTCACAGAGCTTCTGGTCACAGGATTTGGGAAAATAAAAGGTTAAGAGAAGCTGTTGGTCTCAAAAGTGTCAAGAGACACCGAAGGTTTTGCTCAGGGTGAAGTTTATCCCTTTCTTTCGGTGCCAACACATCCTTCTTGACAGAGCCTGCACAGCTGGAACCAGCACTTGTGAAATTAGGATCAAGGTGCATTTACTATGAAAAACAATCTGAGAATGAGGCTTTGTTTCTGTTGTCAAACAGCATGTCAAACCCAAGTGACAATTGATTGTTTCAAAGTTCCATTGATCAAGGGCACAGCAGGAACATTACTGCCTGTAAAAAAATTAGTTACAGATTAACCTTCCCGAGGCACCACTGGCTGCAATCAGTGCTTCCCTGAGCTTCCCTGAGACAAGAACAGCCTAAGTGAGTCTCCAAGTGCCTAGCACAGATCAGCACTCTCCAACTGGTGAGTTTTCACCTTTGTTCTTTTCTCCCAAGCCAAAACCCCGCTCAGCAAAGGACAAGTCACCAGCGAGAGCATCAGGCTCTGTGATTAAGCAAACCCAGTGGAGGATGGACCCTACATCAGGTTTAGCAAGGAGAAATGGAGGGTCGGGGTTAGGGTTAGGGTCAGGCTCATCCCTGTGGCTGCACAGCCCCACAAATCACTGAGTCACAATCGTGCCTCAACGCAGTGCTGGCATGTTCTGAGAACCCACTAGGAATTATAAAAGATTCCAGTTTCCATGATGATGCCACATGCACCTCAAGAAACCTTCAAATAACCAGACAGAAGTTGGAAATGTTTTGGTTTTTTTTTTATAAAAAAAGAAAACCTAAACCCAAACCCAAGCCATTCTCACCAAGTGCCCCTTCCTGAGCCGTACCGCAGCACCTTCCCCATGGAACACCACAAGCTCCAAGCATGAACTGACAAGCAACTCATTTCCATTCCAGCAAGGAAGAATAATGTAGAACTCAAGAAAACAGTGAACCTCTTTGGTATATAACAACAAAGTTATACCACATAGCTCAGTGGGAACCATTTCCAAATGGTTACTATAAAAGAGCATTAGCTAGCCCAACTCTTCCGGTTGGAGATTTCTCTAGAAGCATCTCCTACTTGCCCTGACATTGCCCAAAAGAGCAGGGGAGGATCTCAGGGACTATAAAGCCCTTAGCAAGCCTGGCAGCTGTGGTTCTTTCACAACCCAAAATCCTGGGATCTCTGCAAGACAGAGGCAGTCTAGCAGGATAGGAAGCAGCGCGATTTGGAAGCAGGAAGAAGGAACAGAGGTGGCAGCAGGAGGCAGCAGCTGGAGCAGTGACACTGCATCCACAGCAGCATCCAAGGGAGGAGGAGAGAGCCCAGAAGTGCTCGGATCCAGCAGCACAAGGGGAGCAGCAGAACCCTCCCTGCAGACCCCAACGCCTAAAGAGAACTGAATGGTGCTGTGCTGCCAGCACTCTGGAGCTTCGAGGGCAGGCAGAGCCAGAGGCTGCGCCCACGGCCGCCCCAGTGCCAGCTCAAGGAGTTTGGCCTGAGGAGATTAAAGCCGTGTCACTGGGCTCACAAGGTCAGAAAGCTTTAAAATCGAATTACGCAACAGGAACAATCTGCTGCCCAGCACCTTCCCTACCCAGGGCCAGGAGGGCAGTGCTGTTTTCTGGTAGAATCAGTTCCAGAGGCATTCCAAGACAATTCAGCTGCTGCAGGCAGGATTCATTCTCTTTAGGGTCGCTACAGGCTAAGTTATCTGGAAGATCCCTGAATGTGCAACGAAGGACTGATCTCAAGGAGGAGGAACGAGCTTCTTATCTGCGAGTGACCCAGCAGGCTGCCCAACGCTGCAGCCCTCCACCAGCTCCTCCTTGGTGGTCGGGAAATACCTACAAGCACCTCCCGATGCCAGTGCCACACAGGCACTGGGCGCAGCAGGAGCTGGGCATCTGCTCAGCCAGTCTGGCTCTCGCCTATGTCACAGTTCCAATTTGACTCCTTTAATAAAAGGGAGACCCGATGGCACTTTCCTTTTGTACTCCAGGTATTCTTCTCCAAAGAAATGAATGAGGGTGATCTCCTCCTCCTCGATCCGCTCCCTGAAGAAGCGCCAGGATGCCAGTGCGTAGCCCACCATGCAGATGGGATTGCAGAGCAACACCTGGAAGAGATGCTGCTGGTGAGCGTCCCCTCGAGAACCCAAGGCTGCCCCGGCCCCACAGCTCATCCCCCTCCAGTAACACTGACACAGAAAAAGACCCCAACACTCCCTGTGAAACTTCATAAGCACTAGTTTCTCCCCAGAATGAAGAAAGCAGTGCACAGGTAGCACTGGCTTCACTGCCCCAGCTCTCAAAAGCTCCATGTGCCACCCTTATGGACCCTCTCCAAAGAAATGTAATCCAACGCCAGTGCCCAGCCAACCACGAGAACACACAGCTACAGCTACCGACCCTCTAGTCAGGGAGCTTCCTTGCCCTCAAGTGTAGGGCTGGTGCTTGGCAGGTGCCAAGTTTGAGTTTGACCAGTCATGGAAGACATTTTGACGACAGGGATACAGAAAACTCTGGACACCAGCTTTAGACCAGCAGCAAATCACACCCTAAGCCTCCAAGGGGGCTGTGGGTCAAAACCCCGGCTACAACACCTCTCCTTACTGCACAAAAAAAATTAAGAGAACAGGATCTTCCCAAAGATCACGTGTGGCAGAGCGCTCAGGGATTCCTGATTTCCTGTGTGCCAGTGGGAGGCAGCAGAATCCATGCCCAGCACCAGGTGCTATCCACACCCCATCACAGCATAGGCAGCATTGAGAGCAAAGACCAGGGTTGTGACATGAAAGAATCTGAACACACTGGATACAGTACCTGTGTTCCAATACTCCAGTAAAACCATCCCACGTAGGACGGGTGCCGGAACCACCCGTACACCCCACTTGTCACCAAAGTGTGGGTGTCAGATTTCTCGTTCTGAACGATGTGGTTGAAGTTGGAGCCGGCTGTGAGCATGGCTGCCTTCCTCAGGCAGTCCCCGAAGATCACCATCAGCAGCCCCACGGTGCTCAGCCAGGTGATCTGCTTCAGTTCTGCATGGACAGGGAGGGGCACAACGGGTCTGCACAGGTCTCGAGGGGTGCAGGGGGCTGCTCAGTGAGTGAGTTTTGCCCCCCATCTCAAAGTAAAATGTGTGACAGAAGCAGCCATGCACTGCCATCCCACACCAAACAGATAAAACCAGCAATCCTTGCTTGATATTAGCAAAGATTAGTCCGTGGGGCCCAGCTGCAGAAGCTGAGCAAAGCCAACACAAAGCACAGCCAAGCACATGCTCAGGCTGCTACAAAACAGCAAAGGGGAACAGCTTCCCTCTCCCAAGAATAAACAGACAAGCATAGCCAGTTTGCCCCAGACTGGGCAACCAGCAAGATTTTGATGACTTCATTTTATTCCTGTCAAAAGGCAACACCCAGATGTATCTGACACATCATTCTTGTACCACCAAGGCAGGAAAGGGCTGAAGATCCCTTGGCTTGGCATGTCAGAGTGAGGGGGGGCTCCCCCCTGCCCTCCCGAGATCCAACCCAAAAGAGGCTTTGAGTACTGAGGGATTATGACCATGGCAAAGCTGCTGCAGGGCTGTCACGGGGCAGCAAGCTGAGGGTCACCTGCACTTTGCTACCAGACAGATGGACCCCACACGAGCCACGTGCAGCTGGACAGAGTCAGGGAGGGACAGAGCAGCCGACCTGGGAAAAAGAGCTTCTCCAGCGTGAACTCCACCCAGGAGGACAGGGCAGCCAGGTTGTACTCGAAGCTGTGGTTGAGTAGGAAGGAGTCCAGCGAAAGGCTGCGCGGGTTGTTGATGGCTGTCACCAGATACTCCGAGTAGTGAAAGAGGGACAGGGAGCACATGTACCTGGAACGGGAGGGAGGCAAGCCAGATTTAGTAGGGCCGGGGGCACCGCGCCAGTCCGGCTGCCCGGAACGGCCCTTACCATCCGAAGTGGCGCCAGGCGGAGCGGCCGGCGCTCAGCAGCAGCCCGCAGCCGAAGGCGAAGCCCAAGAAACAGGCCCGGACGGCGATCTGCAAGCACAGGGAGGGGAGAACGCGCTGCCGCCGCCGCTCCCCGGGCCCGGGGTATCCCTACCGGCGCACCCCGGGACCAGGACCGAACTCGCCACAGCCGCACTTCACCCTGCCGCCCGCCGGGGCCACCCCCGTACCTTGTAGAGCGGCCGTGGATAGATGAGCAGCAGCGCCGCGTTCACGCCCGCCACGTGTAGGGCTAGAGCTAAGCGGCCGCGCAGGCCGGGAGCGGCCAGCAGGGAGGGGGACGAGCCGAGCAGCAGTGGCAGGGCCGCCACCGAGGCGCCGAGCAGGAAGGAGCAAAGGCTGGCGCGGCCCTCCCGGCCCAGCCGCCCCCTCCGCGCCACCGCCGCCGCCATCATGGCGGCCCCGCCCCGCTCGCGTCGCCCGGGAAACGGTCTCGCCGCTCTCGCGAGAGCCCCGCCCCGCGCAGCCG